TTTAGCAATTTAATTTTCGTGTTCTTGAACTTGTAGACAAGTTTTGCTTGGCAAGCAGTTAACTTCATGTTGTTTCTTGTCTCAGGATTACTGTTTTAGATTATAAAAGGTATAATGTTACCTGGATCTGCCAAAGTAATCCAAATGCTGTCTAACGACTACGCGTTTCGAAGCAGTATAAGCTTCATCTTCAGGTCGTCAAGAACACATTTCACTCATGAGAGGTCGTCAAATAAATATAATTTTTACACATACTGTACATGGACGGAGAATAGTTACTGTAGGCCTACGAACCGCCTTATTTTTCTGGTGGATGATAAAAAAAAGTTAATCAGAACAAATTATTGGCAACAGCGGTGTAGTGGGGCAAGAAAGAGTGAAAACATCTTGTTTTTCTGAGTCATCATGATTAAAAAATCACTACAAGGGTTTTAGTTAGGTGCGACCAAACAACGCTACCAACAATAAATTTTTGTTAAATATACAGCACGGTAACACAAAAACAAACAAACTAATAAAGTAATTTACAACACATCAAGATACATTGTCAAATTCATATTGTATTGTTCCTCCACAAAAAAGTTAAAAATAAAACCCAAGTAGCGATTAAGAGAAACTGTAGTTATGAAATTTAATTTTTTATTAAGATAATTGTAAACTGTAAAATAAACTATTTTTAGAGTAGATTGTATTAAGCCTCAGTATGTAATGAGTTCTAAAACTATTCATCATCGATCAGTTTGTGATTCAAATTATTTTGTCGCTATTTAGACTTCATTTAAAATTTACATTGTTACAATTCATTGGTTTGTTTTACATTTGTGTCCGTTGAAATTAGTAAAACATCAAAGAGGGTGATTTACTAGACAAAATTAGAACTTGTTAAATATTCTCTCATCGTTGCAATCGTTGATTGTGTTTTAATGAACCGAGTGAAAGGGTGTTGCGAAACAAAACAATCATTAACGCCTAAACAAACAGATTGTGAATGAGTGTATTTTGTAGTAAAATAGTTGAAAAAAACACAAAAACTATGGATTTATCAATAAATAACTCTGAAGGGTTAACATAATTAATAAAGTCAGCGTTACTTTAAATGTTTACAACTATAAATGTAAAAAATGTATAGTCAAAGGTATAAAACAACTTTTTTCACAAATAGATAACATTATTATTATTATAGATACACAAATATATAGGAAGGAGAGACAGTGAATGAAAGGAATTCAGTAGATGAGCAAGTGTAAGGTCCAGTACATCTATGTCTAAAAATTTAAGCACCCCGGTGCCCGGTCTGAAATTAGTAGTTGCATAACATCTTTTTATGTGGTAGTTTGCTATGCAGCAAGAATGAAATACACTTTAACCATGGTGATTACGGTATATTTGCAATTTATTCAAAAATATATTTTCCCCAAGAATGTACAGTAGATTTTTTATCCACAGGATTATTTCCAGTGCTGTTACAAAGTTTTACTCCATTCTACAGTCACAAGGTAGAGGTGAGTTTTTTTTTGCATAACTCATTGTGATCATAACAATTTGGAGTTTTAATGAATAAAACATTTAAAACATAATGAATGGTACTTAAAAAAAGGGGGTAAGTAGCAATAGCATACATCTATTCCATGGAGACTTAATATTTAGGGCATCCTTGAAGAAAGCTGGACCCGAGCTTGCCTGGCTACTGAGGAATTCTGAGGGTGTGGCTCACCAAGCCAAGTAGGTGTCAACAGTCAGTAAATGATGGTCGCAAAATGGCAAATACCCACACCAGTGTTAGCAAGCTATCCAGCATTTCACGGTTCAGATGGAGGTGGAAGTGATGAAGTGCTTTGGGTGACGCTCTTCCCGAAACTGCAAGGGTTACGACCGAGGCAAGAGTTGTCTTTGGTGCTGGGGGCATGGGACACACTTGTAAGGACTACCAAGTCTAATTCAGTTTTTTGTTAGGAATCAGTCTCACACGTGGGTGTGTGACAGGAGTGCGTATTGTACCCGGTGTTGCTCACTCATTAGACCTCAGATACAGCTTTTATGGGGTTTTAATTTGTCTCAGGTTCAGTTTGCAATGAATCTATGCCTCATAGGAGACCCCGGTGTGATAAGCAGCCTACATACTAGTGTACTGCCAAGATTGCAAAAAAATCTCGAGCTGCCTTGCTAGGTAAGAAATGGTAAGTCCTACAAGGTAGTGAGGAAGTCTCTTTCCCTGAAAATTCAGCTCCGGGAGAAATTAAGTCAGAATGTTGGTTCCAATTGGTGGAGCTTGGGTAAAATCGGTCCCCCCTCTTCACCTTTAATCATGGAGGGTGCTAGCGTGCCAGGGATGGTCAAGTTTTATCCCAGGTAACCCACTGCGGGAGTTAGGACATAATGGTGCACCTATCAAGACCCTAAATCAGGTTCTATTTATTGATTCCCAGATCCCCTGATTCTGTTGAACACATACACTGCCTGCCTGACTGAGGAATCATTTCCCTCGGGGTCAGTCTAGACCTACACCCTGTATCCGCCGCCGTGTTTTAAATTAGTTTTGTGGCCATGCATTTTATCGTTTTTTGTTTGTGTACGTGTTTTTCAAGACTCATGACGACCTCCTAGGAACGATTTTACGTCCAGCTTGACAATGATGCCATAGACATTGAAACCGGTCGCTCTAATGACGACTTAAGGATTTCTTGGACAGAATTAAGGTAACTTAACCTCTTGTATACAATATTCTTTAAGTGTGCTTGCTGTTTAGCCTGATGATGATAATAATAATAATAATAATTTGTTTATTGTAGTCGACAAAATATATTGTATTACAAACGGCAGAGAGCATAATATTTGTGAAAAAACCGATACAAGTTATTTAAATTTATCAGGTTCAAAGTATTTTGAAAAAATCAACACAGTTTTTTTTCTTTTTTTGTAAACACCAGTTGCCAGTGAATTTTTTACGCGGTATTTCCTAGTATTTCAATTTAGACATTCCAGTGGTTGTTCATGAAATTGTCAACAGAGTACAGCACAATGGACACCAAAAGGTGGTTTTTTAATGAGTGCTTAATATTCTGCGAAAAACTGGATACAAAAAGGCTTATGTTATTATCAAAGCTGCGACGTCAACGGCATACCCAACTAGAATGATTTCCTCAGGTCGGACCTCAAGAGGCTATGGAAAGCAACGTCCCAGATGACGGATCAAGTACTTAAGTGGCAACAGAAGTGACAATTATTATTACCCACGAGCTCTCTGCAGAATCATAAATCAGGAGATGGTATCTGAGGTAATTTTCTGATGCACATGAGATGTACAAGGATGTTTATAGCTTTCACCAATGCGACCAGAATATTACCCTTCCTAGACCTGTTTTCTGAACACTCACCTCTGAACATTCACTGGAAAGCAATTGGCAAATCAGACTGTTAAAACCAAGTTTGTACCAAAGTGGGTTAGTGTTATTCCTGGAAGTATAAGTCCACGGACAGGGGCCAGAGTAGTCATGGTAATGAGAGGTAAGCTCAGGCAATGAGAATTATAATACTTGTAAAGAAAAGGACTGTCTTTTATTGCCCTGAGGCGGATGAGACTGTTCTCTTTTACAACCGAGATGAAGAAGCAATGAACTGTTAAATAGCTGGATCTGGTTTTATAATGACAGAACTAATGTTTCTAAACAATATCAAGTTATTTTAACACTATAATAATACAAGCCACTTGGCAAGCGAGATATTTTCGATTTTTATCAAAGTCGTTGGTAACTGATATAATATACTAAAAACATTCCATTAACCACATTAACTTAAAGAAAAATTTTACGGATTGGTTACCAACTACGTGTTCAAAGTTGTAAAAAGATTAGAAATCATCATTCCGGTATACTGAATCACGGTCAGATACAAAATATATTTAAAAAATAAGTTTTAATGGTTGAGTGAATTAGTTTCTAAAGAGAACAAATTTAAGTAGGTAATTACTTATTCACGGCGGTCATTCATCAAAGCTCTGCTTCTCTTATATCATGCTGACCAGCGTAATTTCCACAGAAGGCAGTAAGACAACTAACAATGACTAAGTTCTCCGTAGTTTAAAACTAATAAGCTCCACATCTCTAAGACTGATCAGTCACCCCTTTTAAACCTCCAATAAAGTATAGAGTACAGTAAATTGCTTACGAGTGGGGTTAGTTCCATCTACGAGTTCGATCGTACTCCTGCAGTTGAGACAGTATCAAAAGAGCTATTCGACCTTGAAAATAATCTCGTAATGAAATCCAACTATCCCTGAGAGAAAAGTTGGCTTCTATCAATTGAAAGACTGTTCATTCGGGGGACCTCAACTACTCAACCTATCAAAGCAATTAGATAATATGCCTATAGTTGTACAACTGTACAATTGGATTGATCCTCCGTCTGATGAGAAACACAATCTCAGTCTTCTACGTTGCCGTGGTTACCCATCCATCTCATAGTTTAACCCATGACCAAGGCTAACAGTCTCTGCAGGTTATTGACATTCCTAGAAGTTATAATAAGGACGATATCATGGCATAACGAGCAATGAAAGTCTCTATCGAGAAGATCCCATTGTTAGAGATGTTCCACAATTCAGAGACAAGAATTGAGCCCTGAGCGGATCCTGCTATTACATCTCTCTACTGCGGTCCATCAGGCTTTAAGAAAACCACTGAAGTACAGATAGGTAATAGAACATACAGTAGACATACAGAACACACAGTATAAAGTCCTCTGGGGAACTTTGTCAAGTGTCGAGAAAGTAAAATAGAGTTTATGACACATTTGTTTCATTTTCTCCACACTTAAAAATGACCGCCAGGGGACGAAATATTGTGTGATCTGTGTGTCTTCTATACGTCGGCCTATCTGTACTTCTTCAAGGTAAGCTAGCTATAATTCTCTTTGTTCTACAGTTAATAATCTCGTGAAAGCTAGCTTTGTACGCGTATAGTCAAAGTCAACCAAGGAAAGAAAATAAGTAAAGTTAAACTTACTTCCACTCTTGAAGGGATCAACATCGTAGTTGTACCCGTTCTCTTCGTTGTACCAACTATCACACATGACCTTGGCACCAGCGCTGCCGGAGCTCCAGAAGATGTTCTCTCCGTAGGGGTTGTTAGGACGGTGAGAGAACAAGTTCTTCTCTGCTAAGTGCTCTGCCCAGGATTGTGCAAACTTTGTGATCTGAAAAAAGGATTAATTCTATTTTTGTCAAACAGTAGGATTTATGGAACCATGTGTGATGTGAAGAGGGATCCATATTATCCATATCCATTTACAACCATATACATATTTTTGTGAGCGAGATTAAAAGTGAATGTAAACACTAGAGTAAACAGGTAAACAGGTAGAGGTTATGCTGAAGAACTATTTAATCAAAGTAGCAATCTATTTAAACTTTAGCCAAGATTGGACAAAACTGTACTTGACCCCAATTTCACATTGAAATGGTTTAACACATTCACTAGCAACCATCACATGGCTTAGTACACATCTGAGAGTCACCTGGTAGGAAGGTTATTTTTACTCGGTCGGGCAAAATCGAGTATAGTGAAAGGAGCGTTACGCCTATTTTAAAACTGACTTTATGAACAGGTTGTGGTTAGACTAGAGCACTCAGCACTATTGCTCTTAGACTTGTTTGTTTACTACTATACGCAAAGCGGCTTGCTTGCACAAGAGTGTAAATTTGTACCCAAGTCTTCTGAATTGTCCGAGATCCGAATCAAACAGATACCAACCAACGAACCAGAGGAAGCCTTATTTATTTGAAGTTTTTCAATACTATAGACATTTTATAATGTCTTTGTAAACTAATTGTGCAACTCAAACTCACGTTGGCATCCAATGTGAGAGGACCAACGCCATGTTTGGCTCTGTACTCGTTGTGCATCCTCAACGTGTCCTTGATGAAAGCTTCCTGAGATTCTGCCGAGCCCTTTGGTGCCGTGGGTCTGTCCTTCCATCCTCTGGTACAAAAACATCACATGAGTTTTGAGAAACAATGGTCTTAAATTCAAAATATTGTTAAAAAAAATCATAATGCAAGTAGAATTTTTGATTTAAATAAACCTTAACTAATGGTACATCCAGAGTGCACGCCGATTCAGATTCAGATTTTCAACGGCAGGAATGGCACTTGCATTTAAATGGAAGGGCCATAGTGGCCGCCGGTAGCCGATCCCATGCGCAGGCACCTGCTTACCGGAATGAATTCTTCCTTCTTGTTTTAGATGCTGATTCATATAGTGCTTGTACATATACTATTTTATTAAAAAAGTTGGGTTTTATAGTAAAATATTTAGTTCTACACAGGGCCGGTTTAACCCATACGCGAACTAAAGCGGCCGCATATGGCGCCACGAAAAATTGGCGCCGTGGTGCTAACGGAACATATAGTCATCACTAGTCATAACCTTTAAGAGAGGTTATGTTTTTGTTTATAACCACTCATTGTCACCCAAATACAGTGTAATCAGCTGATTGGTGTCCGGTAAAACTCATTACAGTACAGTAGTGAGTAGTACGCAATGAAACCCCATTTGATTAAGCTGGCGGCAAACAGCTGTTTTCTGGACTAAATCCTTGTGTGGGAAGTTCGTCAAAATAGTATAGTGTGGCTCACATTTAGAAATAAATTGTTAACTTAGGCCGTGATGCTCGTCAAGCATGACGTCACGATAGAAGACGGCAATGACGTAGGTATTTATTTATTTATTTTCCAAGGAAAGATTAAAACAAGCAGCTGATCACAAACGACAAACATTACGTCATTGCCGTATTCTATCGTGACGTCATGCTTGACGAGCATTACGGCCTGTTTTTTTAGTGTAGCCTTGGTTTTGCTAAAGTTTATACGATGAGTAAAAGGGTAAAAATGTTAAATTCCTGGGAATAATAAACAGTCTTTTATTGCAAGTATTCTTCTAACCTAAACTTATAAAAAAGTTCTCCCCAAAATATTTGGGAAAAAATTCACAAATAGAGTTAAGTAATGTTCATGGGTTGAGGGTGGGGTGGTGGGGGGGGGATTCTAAGTGGCGCTGATTCGGGTGTTCGCTTAACTCTGAAAAATTCCTAGAACCGGCCCTGGTTCTACAGGGAGTGGCAAAATGATCTGACGGTCTTCTTTTTTGCCCTGTCGAGCGAGTGAGTGGCGGAGGGCGGTGGAAATAGGGTCATTCCACAGCCTAATTGCAGAAATTTTTGTAGCTGAGCACCATATATTTGTCGTGGAAGTGTTTTTTTAAAGTGGCGATTCCTGTGTAGCCGTTCAGTGGCAGTTTCGTAGATGTTTTATTGTGAGTCCAAGGGGAAAAGTCTCAACTCGAAACACCATTTTGCTGTGGGTGGTTAGCTTCAGAGCTACTAGTTCAGCATTAAAAAAAGTCAACAGGCCATCCAAGGTCAGCCTGGACGCCAGAGAACATTGAGAGAGTGAGAGAAGCTGAGGAAGCTAGTCCTCAGTGGCCTGCACGTAAATAAGCTGCAGCTCTGCAAATGTATAACCGCTCGGTAGAAGATTATTACAATACGACCTGCGCTATCATTCATACAAAATGGCAACCGTGCAACAGTTGAAGTCCAGTGGTTATGTAAAACGTATCTCATTTTCAGAACAAGTGATTGATTTGCTTACACGTGACAAAATTGTTATTATGAAACACAAATCACACTTTCAACCATACCACACAGTCTTCCTCACTCTCTCAACGTTCTCTGGCGTCCAGGCTGACCTTGGATGGTTGATTTTAATTTCAATGCTGAACTAGTAGCTCTAAAACTACCTACCCACAGCAAAATGATGTTTTGATTTGGGACATTTCTTCTCTGACCCACATTGAAACGTCTACTGAACAGCTACATAGGAATTGCTCACTCACTCGACAGGTCAGCAAAGAAAACCGTCAGATCATTTTGTCGCTCCGTATACATCCATACCTTAGGGTTACCACTAAACGCTTTTCAGGAAAAATTCTTTGTTTATGTAGGTTACACAAGTTTCTTACAACACAATGCTCAATTTTGATAATCAGTTTCGGGCTCCATTCAACAATTTAGAAAGAACCGAGCTTAATAATTTCTAGTGATGGGAAAAGAGATATATAATACTATCATGAACACCATGCTACTAGTGTCTAGGTCAAAAACATTATTTCCCGTCATGCAGGTTGCATCATCTGTCCTCGCCACCCATTTGAAGGCGTTCAAGTACATAATTCAAGGAGAGTCAACCCTGTGAGGCAGCGGAAATGTTTGCAGTTGGGTCTTTTCTTTACCTCCACCCTCCTCCCGCCAACACTGCCCGCGCTAGGCCAAGTGCCAGCTTAGATGTCACGAGCTGTACAGGTGGTGTATTTCCTGCTTCCACTGTAACCACGCGCCAAAAATATAAATCTGATTTTGAATCTGAATCGGCATGCACACTGGACGTACCATAAAAATGATGAAAATACCTGCATCTATATGATGGAATGTTACGATATGGCAACTATTTTCGACTCAAGTCATGGAGTTGTTGGCCTAAAGATGACTCCATGACTAGAGAACTTGAGTCAAAACTAGTTGCCATAAGGCAACAAACTCACTGCTGGCATTTTCACTAATTTATAGTATTTAAACGTGATCAGTGAACTAAAAGTCAATAAAATAAATAAAGCTGTGTCATAACTCATCAGCTTGTCACCATGAACTATAAACAATAGTCTCTGCGGCGACCTAAAGAAGTCACATAGGCAAGTCAGTCAACGGTAGTAATAAAGCTGATCTTGAACCAGCAACATGTGGCCTCAGCCCGGTTTTCCTAGGCGCGGAAGTAGAGAGTGAGTGCAAAACTCGGAGAGCGGAGAAACAATTTCAATGGCGGTCCGTTCCACTTCTAGGAAAACATTACCTACCATTAAATTACCTTAGACAAGAGGAGGGCGGACTCCACACTTTAAATTCCGCGCTCCGCTTTCGCACCTAGGAAATCTCAGCTTTATCAGGACAGGATCGTTCCCAGTGAATCAGTAGCTCAGTACTGTAGCTACCTTTCCTACCATGCTTGGTATAATAACTTGGAACTTGTGTTTGTGCTATTTTTTGTCAGAAAGTCACTTGACCTATACACAATTTTGTCCAAGGTGTCGGAACTGAGTATCATCTCCTCCAATAAAACAGCTAATGTTTTGGAAATTAACTCAATCTAAAATCCAAACAGAAAAATCTGCATGCACTACGGTATTTGATTTGATTTCTAACAGTCTAGTTAGAACCTCAAGTCTGGTTGAAATGTTCTTTTGACAGTACACTTTGTTTTGGACTCACAAATAAGCCAACAGAGTTCAACATTGTAGAAGACGTATCCTTGAATAACATGGTCTATACACAGTGCCGGATTTAAGGTACTTGTGGCCCTTGGCCAAATTACTATTGGCCCTCATCCCTAGTGAAAATCTCCCACGATCATCATCATCATCATCGTCACCAGCGACTACGTATGAAATCATGTACATCTCAACATCTCCCGTGGGCCACAATCACGGGTAAATCATCATTGTCACCCACGATCGCGGAGAAATCGTGAACACTGCTTAACCTAAGTCAAGGGAATATCGTCATCGACACTCCAACCACGGCGAAATCATGAACATCTCCCACAGGCAGCAATCACGGGGACATCATCATTGACACTCGCAAATACTGTAAAATCGAGGACATCTCCCGCAGACCACAACCGCGGGGGCATCATCATTGACATTAATGACTGCGGCAAAATCGTGACCATCTCACTCGAGCCACAATCACGGGGACATTATCTTCGACACCCGTGACCGCGGCAAAATCATGGACATCTCCCGAAGGCCACAACCACGGGGACGTCTTCATCGATACTCGCAAATACTGCAAAATTGGGGACATCTCCCAATCCTTTGTGGACACCCTGTTGTGCTTGTCAGTATGAAATTTACTGTAGTATTGTGAGGAAAGCAAAGGCATATCCGAGTTTAAGGAAAAGATTCAAACTAAGCTCTTCTGAAGTTCAAATAAAAAAAAAAAACTAACTTTGGATGAACTAATAATTTAAAACTTACTTTACTTATGTATGAGAAATAAAATAAAAAATATCAAATCTACCAAGTAAGATGGACCATCAGATGTTTTAATTTCACTTACCCAATGGGAGGAACATTGTCGACGTACTCTCCCTTGTAGTTGCCAGGTGGGTTGTAATTGCAGACGACAAACGTATACTCTCCAGTCTTAGCTACTCCGACACCCAAGTACTCACTGCTCGCCCATAGCACTTGAGTCAGGTGACCTGGTGAACAAGAATAACAAAATACTGAATATACTATACCCCAGGTTTTAAATGAATGAAGTTAGAACACTCTAAATAATAACAGACCCCAAGTTTCTATATTTCAAGAGTGATCTCTTACTACCTTTCATCAAGCTGAACTATTTCACTGATCCGGAAAATGTGGTACAGTAAAACCACGATAGTTAGACACTCCCTATAGTTTGACACAGGCGGTGATGACATGACATGTCAGCAGCAGCCTATTACGGGTTTTGCGAGGTCAAAAACTAGAGCCATCTTGTTTTTTTTCATTGTTGCAAAAACTCAATACTTAAACCTTCCAATTAATTTAAATGTTTTTCCAACTTCCAAAGTGAAAAGCAGTTAAAAATTACAAACTATTTTTTTTCATACAGTAAGAAGCCAATGTACAATAGAGATGTAAATTGATAAGTTTGTTAATTTTTTCAAGTTTAACACATTTATTAAATTTGTTTGCTTTATCACGTGATTTAAATACTCTCTTAGAGTAAATGTCCAATATACTCCCTATAATTCAACATTTTGATAGTTGAACACCTCCTTAGACCACAAATTGTTGAACTATTTAAGTTCTAATGCATATAGATCACTCTTAGATTAATGACAGTCTACTACATTGATATGGTTCTTTCTTCTCTACCAGCTCTCCCTTTGTTTTGTATATTTACTTTCCCTCAAAAGAAACAAGTAGCTCAGTGAAATAATTATAGCTAATTTTCACAGGTGGTTGGCCAAAACCTGCGGTCCTTCCTTCACCCGTAGCTTAAGCCAGAGACTTGTTCACCTGGCAGCTTTTGTGAACGATATTCCTAGTCCCTCTTATTAACTTCTCTCCTTAACCTTAACTGGATACTTTATTTGTGTCCATCAACACACCTTTCCTTGTAACAAAGCACAAGGATCATCAGGAATCCTTTTTTCTTCCTATTTTTTGTCATTGTCAAACTTCTTAGAAAGCTTCCACGACTTCTCTCTTACATATTCCTTCATGTAAGCTCGTTCATCCTCATAAAACCTAGAATCTATCAGAATAAATTGTGATATCTCTAGTTCTCCACACTGTGTGCATCCATTATCGCCTAAACATAAACTTCTCGTTTTTTTAATTCTTACCACCAAGACTAGTATACGAATATACAAGGGCTATCGTGAAAGTAGATTATGTTTTCGTCTGTATCCACAAGAGGTGGGGTTAGCGCGGCCATCTTGGTCTCAGGGTGTTACACAGTTCAGTTGGCATCTAGTCGTGCTAGTGAGGGGTTTGTGCTGTACTCGGAAGAGTTACTGTGATAGTTTGAAATGTCTGCATTTATTGCCAAGAGCTGTGATGTGCGTCACAGAAAACATACTACTATAACCCAGAATGCCAACCGTATGGTAAAAAGCGTTAAGTACTTTGAAAGAGCTTTGCCTGTCAATTCGTAGGCAGCGCCACCAGCCTGAGTGCATATTCCTTGAGTGCATCACCTTGAGTGCATAGCAACGCTGGTGGCGCTGCCTACGAATTGACAGGCAAAGCTCTTTCAAAGTACTTAACGCTTTTTACCATACGGTTGGCATTCTGGGTTATAGTAGTATGTTTTCTGTGGGTGCGTGCAGTAATTAGGTTTCTCACTGAAAAAAACTGTAAACCGATTGAGATCTATCGGCAGCTTTGTGAAGTATATGGGGACAACATTATCACTGAAGGTGAATGCGTCAGTGGGTCATAAAATTTAAAAATGGCCGAACTAACGTTCACGACAAATAGTGAAGTGGAAGACCCAGCATAGTAACTATCAAACTTGTCAAAAAAGTCTATGCCGAAGTCCATAAAAGCTGAAAATTCACAGTACATAATGAGTACTTTATGAGTTTTCCATAAATTGTTCTAAGTTTATTACTTGAAATCATCACAGAAAAACTTGGTTATCACAAGTTTTGTGCAAGATGGATACTAATTCAAAATCTTGACAGAGATCCACTAAATCAACAAATGGCTGCAGTGTTATTGTTTTTGGACGCTTACATTAAAGATGGCGACGTATTACTCAATCACATCGTTACTGGTGAGGAAACATGGGTTAACATGTGAACTGCCAAAAAAATTACAGTCAATGCAGTGGTGGCACACAAATTCCCCCCAAAAATCCAAGAATTACATGCATGCAAACGATGTCGGCAAAGAAGATTATGGGAACTGTTTTGGGACAGGAAAGGTGTAGTTTTTGTGGACTTCCTTGAAACAGGCACTACGCTTCAATAAACTCTCAAAGACATTGCCAAAATTGCAAAATCTCAGAAGAGCAATAGGAAACGAGGGCAGAGGAAGATTAAGCTCAAATATCTTGCTGATTCTCGACAACGCCCGGCCCCACACGGCAAATGTCACCTGTGACGTTCTTGAATCTTTTAAGTGGGAGTTGTTTCCTCATCCGCTATACATTCGCGACCTGACACCGAGCGACTTTCACTTACAAATTCCCAGCAATGATGAACATGGCTGGGCAGCATTTTGATGACGACGTATAGCTGCAGGAAGAGGTAACTGAGTGGTTAAAGGCGCAGGCGGCGAATATTACAGCGATGAAATTTCTAAGCTCATCCATCGCTACAAGCAGTGCCTTTATTTGAATGGTCACTATGTAGAAAAGTAGTATTTAAGTATGGCTTTCATCTGTATATAATATTTTTTCCAATATTGTACATATATGCTGTGTTGTTTGTTTTTCCAATACTTTGTTTATTTTATTTTAAATTATAAAACATATACTTTCTGGATAGCCCTTGTATGATTCACATCAACACATTCGCTCACCAGCTTCCAAATCCCGAGGTTCTGTGCCAAACTTGTACTTGCTGAGCTCGTTGTTGTACCATGAGTCCACGGCGTCGCTTCCCACCACTCGATGGCTGCGGTCCGTCGTCATGTACATCCACAAATTCTCCCCGTACTTGTTGTTTGGCCGATGCATCATCTTCAGAATACTGGCCAGGTGGTCTGCCCACTCCTGCGCGAATGAGTTAAGCTGGAACAGAACTGTGTTATAAGCATTGTTTTGTGAAACTCTCTAACAATTTTTTGAGTAAATACTAGATAAACTCTTCTAGTCTATTTATTTTCTTTTGTGCTTTGTAAAACTTAAAGTATTAGCTATAGTGAGGGAATCGGAGGAATCGTAAAAAAGAAAGTCATGGTTATAACTCTCCCAACAGGCTTCAGTTCTGGTCCATGAAATTGTATAAATAAAAACACTTGGTAAACCATTTTCTTTGAATTAGATTGAATTTAGTTCTAAATATTAGAAAATGATAATTTTATTTAAAAAACATCTTATTTTTCAGTCTATTATGGACAAAATTCTATAGATCCGGGTGATACGCTGGGGAATAGAAAAAGGCCAACTTTTATGAAGGCGAAGACTGTGAAAACAATGTTGAAAGGGAAGCTGGTAAAACAACACGGACTGATAGCTAAAAGATAGTTCGTTCGAAGAAGAAAGAGAGATAAAATAATTACGGGTAATAGTGGGGCAGAGGATGACTTTTGAGGTATATTTAGAAGAAGAAATGTGTGAAGAGATGATAGGAAATTGCGCCAAAATATACCAAGGTAAATTGTATTTTAAAGCGATAGGATCAGTGTTGGATGAGCGATATGATGGATTTGTTATTGACAGACTGGTTCTTTTGCTAGACCATTTATTAAAAACCCGGTGATCAAGTAAGTATAGTTTCAAACCATAATAAAGCTACTGATTTTTCCCAGGATCGTACTGGTGACCTTCTGACTCTAGGCGAGCACTATAACCCATCAGCTATGCAAACACAATAGTTGCAGAGAAACATCTTGATGCTGTTGTACGGATATGTAATGCCAGCGATGCTGTAAGGATGAGAGTTAAGGATAAATGAAGCTAGGAATATTTGATAGAAAAAGGAAATTTAACTTTTCAAACCCTTGTGTGTTGGGTGACACCAAACATGTCCCTACTCAAGAACTACAGGCTATATCAACAAAGGTGATCTAAGGTGACATGATACAATCAGAGTTTTGAGGGGGGCAATTCCACTTTGACTCGTTGATTAGTATTTAGGAAGACAAGGAAGCAGGAAGGGATGTTGCAAAGTGTATACCGGTTAGAAGAGAAGGAAAAGCTATGTATGGGTAACATAAGGAGAAGACTCCGAAAAGGAAGATAGACCATCATTTGACACAGTTGTTAACAGGATATGATAATTTTGGGACAAATTTGCAGAGGCTCAACCTATAAAGGAAAGATGCAGATGTGAAGGAATTGAGTCAGCTTGTAAGTCCATTACAGAACAATAAGAGAACTGAGAGGAAATATTGGATAGGAAGGACTTGGAATAGAAAAAGGAGGACTTCGTCAGGGACGATGAACTAATTGAATCATCCAAGAATATTACAAGAAAAATTGGAATAAGTATAGACAACTACAGGTAGTGAGGAATCGAATGGGAAATGAAAGAGTGAGAGAGAGTTCCTAAGGAAAAAAGATAAAAGCGGGAAAATTGAAATTCCAATGAACCCTAACTCATTGGGTGGTAGGGGAGACTACGACAGCACACCTGCTGTCATGGTAGAGGGTCTGGATGCAGGTATTAACCGAAACCCGAGAAGGAAGAAGTTTATCTTGAAATAGGCCTGGCAAGTCACTCAAACTTAGCAAGAGGTGGAGGTAGAAACAAGAGGTTTTATCTCCAGCATGTGTCAGTCTACAGAAATTCTGGTACAGTGTTTTGTTTACAAATAATCCCATACGTTTGGCAGTCTAGTACAGGTTTATACACACTCAGAGAAGTACAGAAGGTACAGGAAACATTTTTATGGGACGACCGTGCTCTTTCAGCTCTGGGATGTTTTGTTTCGGAAATATACTTGTGACGAGCAAGGAAGGAAGAGCCTGTGTGTGGAAATTACTACCCCACAGGGCACAAGGTCTTCCTATTCCATGAGCCTTCTAGTACATGATGGCGATGGCGGTGCTGTTTGACTTCGCCCTAGACACCACTTAAGTGCACCATTGAATGTTTCTTCTGTACCTTACTTCTCTGTGATACTCATTATCTAGACTTTGAAATGCTATTTCTCCACAATTATAATAAATACAATCAATTTCTTTATTAATTGATAAATTTGACAGCTCTATTGGAACAAAATAACTAAATTGGACTAGCTAAATTGTATTTAAATTGGAAATCCTCTCCTGTCTGTTGAGATGATGTTACACAAGATCCACAAGATGTTACAATTCAATTTGATACAAAATTTAACTTGACTAACCTCAGGACTGAGTTTGAGAGGGTCGAGCTTGTGCTTTGCTCGGTACTCGTTGTGTCGTTCTAAACACTGCTTGGCGAACTCGTCTTTGTTGATGTCCTTGGTCTTCTGAGGCGTCCGTGGAGTGCTGCGTATAGACACATTGCTGCTCTGCCTGGGCAATGTCTGCAACAGTTACAAATGGATTACAAAGAGTTACAAATACCATTTGGGATAGGATCGGATAAATAGGATGCATGCAGTATCTGTATACTCAATACAGTAAGGGGTTTTTAATACTTTATACTTTTAACTGAAATGGTAACCATACGAAAGTAGGTATTTTAAGCCAAGTATGAATGGAGATGAGTATAGGATTTGTGTGATCTTTTTGTCCTTGTAATGACTAAGGCCGACTTATTCCTTGGACAGGACTGTTAATTAACAGCCAATAGCAACTAAGGGACTTATAGTTTACAATGGAAGAGTGAAATACGAACAACTTTTTGCCTTGTAATTTACGAATTGGTCTAATTATAAGGAAAGTACTGTGAATAGTGGTAGTATACTCACTAGTGCAAACGTTAATCCACACCAGGGAGCCACAGATCATGCCTATAAATATCTACAATATTTATGACCTCCAAGTAGCTGGATTACAGGACACTTTTTTCTATAACGTCCATTATTAAGCTGTCTGACTTAACCGATTTTTACTATTGAGTTGTCGTTTTAGCTTGTTATCTAGGAGAGGGGAATATGTTAACAAAAAAGGTAATTTACTTTAGTGCTTTGCCTCCCTTGCATTAAATTTATTTCTAGAGTTTACTTTCAAAGACCCAGTTATGCTGACCAACTTTCTTTATAACGGTTTAAATGTAAATTGTAATTTAACAGCTGGAGCTTCTTTTAAATGTTGAGCAACGTTCATTTTTTTAAAACAGAACAGTTTATTAATTTACTTGATTAGCACAAATCAGCTTTTCATTAAAGCTAAACTAACCAACAAAAAACATCTTTTACAGAGAAAAAGATCTTTACAGTCTGATCTTTACAGAGCAGACACAGAGTAAACATGTTTTTGTCAGAAATATTATTGCATCCAGTTTAATAAAGTAGGTAGCTTATATAATTTGAGTTTACTAAAAAGTCATTGAAAACATTCAATGTTTGACTTAAAACACTTATTTGCTCTAGGTCAAAGAATATAAATTGGTGTAACTTTTTTTAAGAAAGGTGTGCCTGACGCTCTACAGTAGTTCAACAAACAAATTAAGAAAAGGAAAAAAACATTTGAAAGTATTAACTATAAGTTAATGTTTATGTTTTCTACAACAATAGCAAATTGAAATCAATCGTCACTTTGGAAAAAGGTTTACCTGTGAATCTGGAGAACTTTTGCAACAACTAAGTCCCATCACTGATGTTAACTGTACTTAGAACGTATGGTGCAACCTCACTGCACTATCACTGAGCGGAAAGCAATAATATGGCTCATAGGCTCTCAGACAAACACTGATAAAAGATTACTCAGAACCAATGAAATCACTATTGACATTAGATGGGCTAGAAATAAACAAACGGAGTGCAAGTATAAGATGTTTGTTATGTTTTTAATAACTTGTTTACCACACCTCAGCTGTAATTAAGATTTTCCACATCAAAACAAACTTAGGGAATTTATATTCAACATAAAGATCCTGGTGAGTTGATAAAATAGATTTAACAATATATATTGTATTATATTTTATTATTATATTATAATTTAACAAGTAATACTACAGTAGTTATCAAATTATTTTTACAGAGTGAGTTTTGAATCATAGTTTTAAACGAAAAAGTACTGTACAATCTGGTGTGTTACCACTTATGATATTTATTTACGTACATTATCTATACAGCTTTTATTTGGTGCGATTTGATCCAAAATTAAGTGAAATAAACTAATTAATTGTTAAGCTATTTGCATTAACTGTAAATAAATCTTAGATTTTGAAACTTCAAAAACATTTTTGTTCTCGAGAAGTAAAAGTTAAGAGTCGGTATAGTATAGTTCCACACCAATGATTAGCAGGCCCATGGTTTGCATGGAATGCCCTATGGCCTGAGAGATAATTGCACCTCTGTCCACCTACCTTGTGCGAAAATTTTTCTTTTCCTCGTGCCCCCAACAAACCTTTACCTATTTGCGCCCCTGGGCCCACAGGGCCGATTTATCAAAGCAGCACTGATGTCCGTAGAGCCAAAACCTAATATTTCAAAGAGGGTCTGTTCAGAAACATATAATAGTTGCTAAACCTTAATTTAATATACAGGGAGCGGCAAAATTATCTAACGGTTTTTGCTGCCAGCTTTCGAGCAAGTGAGTGGAGGAGGGTGGTGGGAATATGGGCATTCCAGAGGCTACGTGCGGTAATTTATAGTAGCCATGCTGCTATGGATGGCTAAGCACGGTGCGTTTGAAGTCAAAGTGTTTTTAAAAGAGGCAATTATTGTGTAGCTGTTCAGCAGCAGTTCCGCAGACGTTTCAATATGGGTCAAAGAGGAAAATTCCCAACTTGAAACACCATTTTGCTGTAGGATGGTAACTTCAGAGCTACCAGTTTAGCATTGAAACAAAAATCAACAGACCGTCCAAGGTCAGCCCAAAAGCCAGAAAACATCGGGAGAGTAAGGGAAGCTAGTCCTCGGCGGACTACAAGCTGCAGCTCTGCACATGTCTTGACTGCTCGGCAAGAAGAAGATTATGGTACAATCTGCACTTTCATCCATACAAAATGGCTATCGGGTAACAGTTGAAGCCCAGTGGTTATGCAAAGCGCAACACATTTTCTAAACAAGTAATTTATTTGCTTACAGATGACAAGATTGTCATTATGAGCGACAAAGCGCACTTTCATTTGAATGGTTATGTGAATAAACGGAATTTCCGATATTGTTCAGAAAGATATCAAAAAGAACAGCATGAACATTCTTTTTATAGTCCCATGGTCACTGTATGGTGTGGTTAACACGTTCGTGGCAACATGGGAGTGATCGCTTTTTTAAGCCAGGATTAGAGCTAGAAATCCGAAACTTCCCACAGCGCTGCTCAATAGTATACTGTATTTTTCAACGATGTGGTTTTGCACTGAACATTGCTGCTTTGAGGGTAGGCGTGGGGTGCTCAGTAACTCAGTCACTAGTCGGTGTCAAGGTTGACCACTTGCGCAACTGTTTTGATCGCTGTTTTGTTGTTAGTTTTTCTTCCGAAATGTCGGACCTAGATGATCCAGACTTTGTATTTACTGACGGGGAAGGTGATTGGACAAGTGACGATGAAACTGATTAGTTAGTTAGTTTTGAGAATATGATGAAGATGTGATGTTTCGGGATGGCCGTGAGGTACACGGAAACTCCTGCCGCTACGAACGTGTTAAACAAAAGATTGTGTTATAGGCCCATACTTCTTTGAAAATAACAGTCAAACTGTAACCGTCAATTTGCATTGATACCAAATTGTGTTGAAAAACAACCTAATCCCCGAACTACGCAGGAATCTCTTAAACCACAGCAGAATTTGATTCCAGCAAGATGGAGCAACTGCCACAAAGTCAGTGAGGTAACGAGCTTCTTCTGCTGCATACACCAGTGTGCGTAGTAGTCTTGCAGCTAGGCGTTGGCCTCTCGGGGGCAATGGTCAGCCGGTAAGAGTTCGGTACTCCTATGAGTGTCCTAGCTTGCGAATGCGTGTCCGTCCACTCACTGACAGATCGGCGGCAGTGCTGATAAACTGTCTGAGAGGCTCCGTTACTAAATTTGTGGCCCACATACAGGTTTGCGGTCTGTGGTTGCTAGGCAGTAAGCTCCCTGGCGGCTGAAATAGTGCATTCTTAGGAGTGCCATTCTGGAATAAGCTATGACCTAACGGATGTTAGTCAGTGCCGTATTCAAAGGGATTCGACTTCAATGTGTTTCTTACACAAAAAAGATATGAATGTCAGGTACCGATGCTAGAAGACAAAAACGACACAAAGCTTCTGATTTACATTGTTCAACACTAGGCTAAAACCAAATATCTAAAACTGTGCTAATAGTTTTCACTGCTTCATGGTTTGATGAGCATTAGTTTATAATTACCTGAGATTTTGAAGGTGTTGATGCATATGAGGGTGGAGATTTCAGCTTATCTGCCCTCAGGTTGACTTCTGCAATTTAAAATTTAAAAGTGAGAGACATTACAAACACTGATAAGAATCCATACACTCAAACAATAAGTACAAAGTGTATAAGAAAGGACTGTACTTTGAAGATAAATATTACCCGACAACTGTGAAAATAACACAAAGACACTTGTACCACAATGTCACCTGTGATTATTGGAGCAGTAAAAGACGTCTCCTCACACAACTACTGTCTCTTGAGTGAATCCGTTTTGCCTCTGAGTACGGTAACTGACGTCCCAATAAATAAACTAAATTGTTATTTTTAAAACTAAAATAAGTTAATATTGTACTGTCAAAAATTTTGATTCCAAATGTTTTCAATAATTCATCAAATCATCAAGACATTTAAAACATATTTAAATGTATGTTAGCTAGATGAGAGAACTCACTTGACAGTGGCTGAAAAGCTTTTTTGCCAATGAAATCACTTCCATAGAATGAGGCAACATTTTCTTAAAGATTAAAGCTTGGTCAGGGTGATACATAATTCTTTGATAATTTGCACACATAACATCAGAATATCCACTGACCTAATTCTGCCATCATACTACTCTACATTGTACAGTAAGAACCCGTGCTATGCGGGAAAGTATACAACTTGCCTCAATTGAAACTAGGGGAAGAAAAGCTTTTTAAAGAAGTCTAGCCTAGATGATTAGATTAGATTTACACAGGTCCATCACTCAAGGGGGTGTATTTTTTAGGTCTAGCCGAGTGAAGAAGGAATTTTGAGTGAACCAGATTTGTTACTAACTATGACAGCTGATATCCTGAAGTTATAATTAAATGACCAATGATCAGGGGCCATGGTTCTGATTTGAACCATTAAAAAAGCTTCTGATTGTTCTCACGATTGAACCGGCATTTCGTATTACTAGCTGACAGGTGAGAGAACTGGTTTACGGAACCAAACAGAACCACCAATGTACTCGATGAAGGAATGTTTTGAATCAACTTGTCCTAAACGTGTGATGTGTAGGTTGTCAACATTAAACATTATTGTACACATTTTTCTCAACAAATATCTGAATATGATTTAATTTAACAACGATGATATACTCCATTCACAAAATTTAAGTGGACGTGATTCCATCCCCTACACCTCATCCTAACTTTGAAACAACAACCAACAGCTAATCAGCTGATAAATACATTAAACTTAAAAAGTAGTGGGGAACCCCGGAAACCTCCCCCTTAAACTGCCTAAATTTTTTGAATAGATTATAGTGACGGAGTAAGTGTATGAAGGATGTTGGAAGAACTGTATACATACGAGAGCCCAGGAGAGGAGCACGGGCGATGTCTGTGACGATAGTCTCCTTCGACTCCACCACGCCGTCCACACTCTTGGTCGTCAGCTTGCGGACCGTGTTCTGGTTGCGGTTGTACGTCTCCACGGTAGAAACAGTCACTGTCTTCAGCTTAGGGGGCTGGAAAAGTGCAACTATTATCATTTGGAATATTATAATGTATAAGTGAGAAATGGAACTTGTCTATTAGTATTAGATGTACATTATATCAAAGTTTTTCTTAATTTTTTTCACTCAAGGTTTTTGAACTGGGTATGGTGTTGTGGTAGGTAACTTGCCTTAAAGTCTGAAGGTTGTTGGTTTGATTCCAAGCTTGGAAAAATTAGGACAATTTACCAACCATTGGGCTATCAAATGATGGTCTCTAGGCAATCAGAGTTACATAATAACAAAACAAGGGCTTCAACCAATCCCTCACAAAAAAAGTAAATAATGTCAAAAGCATGAAAACAATCCTCTCTTTTTAAATTTTTAACATCACTCAGAAAAATTTTCAAAAATATACAAAGTTTTCCAGAAGTTTTTTTTACTTTTAAGACTATCTAAAGACATATTTAAAGTTTGATACCCAAACAAAAACTTAGCATAACGAATTGTTGTAAAATAAAAAAAAAAGCTATAATAGAAATGTGGAATGATTTTGTTATAATACATACCTACAAAAGATCTTAACAAAAAAAATTATAATTTTAAACACATTATTCATTTTGCAACAGCTCTATACCATATAGTAGAATAACAGATTGCCCAAAGTAATATAAAAACATCTAAGATAAATTATCAACTAATCCCCCTATTATAAATAATAATAGAATAGATGGGAGTTCCATATTTTTCTTTGTACTAAAAGTCGACAAATTCCATTTAAAAACGCCAGAGAATGGATATTTAAGATAGAAAGTTACCTTTTTCCCTCTGTACCATATGATGCTGGGAGAGGACCACACCCCCTCTCCCCCTTTACAGCCCTTACAGATCTTCACAACAACCCTACCCCACTGACCTACTCTCTCTATCTCTACACTTGGGTTTATATATAGATTGTAACTCTTACTCTCACCAGGTATTCTTTTAAGATTTGCTTTTAAGCGAAGTGTTAAAATTTAAATAAATAAGCGATGTACCCAATTCACAAATTAAAAACCATATTATTTTGTAGTAGGATATTTTATTTCATATTTATTGTCAAAGTTTTTGGATGGATGTTATAGGGAAAGTAACAAAACACTTTTCATACAATATTAGTGTTTTTGCAGTCAGCTAATTTATATAAAAAATTTTTGTTTACAATCTAGGCTATATTAAATAGGTTTATTTTTTTAACTACCAGAATTTTATTAAATCGTAATATATACAAGTATTTTCTTCTCAAAGTTATGAAAGAATTTATACATTGGCAAAGAGCTATTCGCCTGAAGTACCAGTACAGTCTAAAAACCTTGATAACAAGAGTCTGGGCTTTATCAAAAAAGACTTGTAATCGAGGTTGGCTTCTCTTAGAGGTTTGTAATAACATGTGATTGAGGTAGCATAAAAATCGAGATTATTATAAAATTACACTTATTATCAAGGGTATCTTACTACAAAGGGCGACTTGTTATCAAGGCTCCGCTGTATATATGTTTTAATAGTATACCTCAAAGCCCTATATTGGTTAGGTACTCCAGTTCATTTTATTATAGACAAATCTGTAATGTTTTAGCTAGAACTCATTACCAGAATCGAAAAATTTAAAGGCAAAATATTCCGGAAAGCATTTCCAAAACCCCATCAGACAACAAAAATTATGGTCTTACTTGGCTCTGTAAATTAACAATGAAAATGAATACACTAGTAAACTTCCACACCATTTCTTATCAAAGAAATCGGCGATTTCACTGGTCACTATGAGACAGGGTAACTGAAAAATCACGAGTACAAAAAATGATTATTTTAAAAAGAAGTACTTTTTGGGACTCTTGTTAACTGATACAAGGTTGGTCACCATTTTTGTTTACTGCCTTTAAGTCTAGATAAAACATAAAAAATAAAAATTTGTGAAACTTGCACAAAGGATAGATAAACAACAACTCCAACCTAACTATTCTAGAGCATTGTTGTAACTGATAACAATTAGTTAAGATGTCTGGCCACAGTTTAACAAGATATTAATTAACATTGTTGTTTAACAGATTGGCTGTGGACTGGAGATGGATTGTAGAGATGTCTGAGAGATTGATCACAACAATGTTTCTAACTAATCTTAACTTGTACCTCAGTCCCACAGGGGTATCTCCAGCTTAAAAATAATAAAGACTCGGGAAGTTTATAGGAAAATGTTTTTGCAAGTAATAAACCTGTCTATAAAGTAGGCCCTATTATACTTATTTTAAAAAACATTACCACTTAGTACATTTCTTACCCTTCAAAGTTTCATTAAATTTATTTAATGTTTTAAGTAAGGAATGTTTGGAAGGTGTAAAGGTTTTATCCAACTATGGTGTTATGTACAATGTAAAAAATCATAATGTAAGCTAATTGGATGAAAATATCTTATTTTGAAATGTGTGGTACTGTATGTTTTTCTATGGATACTAGTTGAGGGAGTTCTGTATTATAAAATTGCCTGAGACATTTTTAGTATGTCTTTAGATCTGTGAAACTACATCTTGGGTTGGGCTTGTTGCATTATCAATCAGCTAAAAGCATTTAGCAATTAGAAATATTTTAACCTGGATCCCCAGAAGTCGTACATCTATGATACTGTAAATACTAAACATGTAAACTATAGAAAATACTTGCATTAATTTTTAAACTTCAATGCCTACAATTACACTATTGACTTTATGGCATCAATGGTTGCACTAAACAAATGTCTACGTAGAATTTCACTGTACTGGACACTTTTATTACTTTTAGGGTTTGTAGTTGGGTCAAATCATATTCTTACCATTAAAATTCTTGTTTTTCTAACTAAGCATTCATTAAAGGACCTCTACAGTCTTAATTTTTCTCATAATTAGACTATGCCATGTGAGTCATGTCTATTTTTCAAGTCACAAACTTAACAAAAATTCACTACCAAGATTACTCTACACTACTTCTCTGTACCCAACAAAAGTAAAAATTATACATCCTCCCTCATATCACAGAAAAAATAAGGTACCTACAGAAAAAAAAAACTTGCTAATGGGACAACCGTGCGCTTTCAGCTCTAGTATGTTGGGACGGAAATATACATCTGACAAGCAAAGAAGAGCCTGAGGGGCGAGCACTGTGTAGAAAACCTATCACACAGGGTCTTCCTCCCTTGTGAGCGTTGTAGTGCATGATGGCGATAGGGGCGTCGGGCGGTGTTCAATTATGCCCTAGACACCAGTTGCTAGACACCACTTAAGTGTACAATTGAATATTTCCTCTGTACCTTACTTCTCTGTGTTCATACACAGTAGCTCATGGACCTACCTGAGTGCCTTTCTTCTCCGCAATGGTCCGCTGATCTGTGGACCTGACCATGATGATGTTGTCGGGACTCTGGAAGTCGTGAGCGTGACTTGTGAAGCTACCGATGTGGTTCAGGTCTAGAGAAGCGATCGGATATGGAGGCCTGGACCTGTGGAATGACAAAAATGTAAAGAAAAAATAGCCACAAGATGACAAAGTTTGTTTGGACTGCAAATTTTCCTTCAGATTTTACAATTATATGTTTTGGATGTGAAAATGCAGTGGAACATATAGGAATCCTGAAAACCCCAAAGGCAATGGTCACCAATTTTTGCACCAGAAGGAACATTGTGATACTATCGATAATAGATAATGATACTTTTTTTATACCTATGGTATCGATCTCGTGCAGTATTGGTATTGCGGGATCAAAAGAAAATATGATGCATTTGCAAAGTGTCAAGAGACTTATTGTATCTATTTATGTCAGCTTCTTAACCATTAAAAATCTAAAAAAATCCTTAGTAAAAGGTTTAATCTTATCTGTTGACCATTGGACGACCTCTAGGACACATTAATATACAAGAAAAAGTATGTTATATTTAAACTATTAAAAAAATAGGCCTACCTTAAGTGTAAAATATCATGTTTGATGGCTTGTACAGTTTTCATGATACAATAACATTATATGCTTTTCATGACAAACCTTTGGAAATAATGCAAAGATTAAATATACTTAGTCTATTTGATAAAATGTTTAAAGCTTAGCCAAAAGTTTAAACTCTAAATAAAGTATGTATTATTGAAACCAAAGCTTTTTTATACCTTGACAATGATGAGAGTGATCCCATAGACATCTTGCGCGGTTTTACACCCAACATTTTGTATTCTCCAGTCAACCACGAGATGAAAGTCACCAGTATAAATATCACTCACATATTTCCGCACAACACCGTTTTAGACTGTTTTCCATTTGTTAATGATTTGTAAATCATTTTATTTCAAGATGGCTAAGTTTTACTCAAAACACTGTAAATAACTCTTTTTGTATAATGTATAATATTTGCAAATTTTAAACAAAACTTTAACTCAATTTTTTGCAAGTCCTTTACAAAAATTCAGAAAACAAGAATACTAAAGAAAACATTTGTTACGTTCAACAGGTGGGTTTGAGAATAAACAACATTTCAGTATAAACTATCATTACAGAGCATTGAAGCAATAAAAATAAAAATAATGATTCATAGAGTAATCATGCATCACATTATTACATTATATCAGTTTTATAGATGAGTCTAGGGAATATTAACTTCCTTGTATTTGACTCATACAAAAAATGACTATCAATTTGACTAATTATCAGAATTAAAACAATCATATGATTATGACTCATATTTAGTTAGTATGTTTTTATCCTTCGATTAACTAACAAGTTATTTTGGTCAAGCCTACAGCAACATCATGAAACATGATCAGACTCTATGAAGGATATAAAAATATACCCCTGCCACAGCAAACCTGCCAACTAAGCGAATTTCCATCTGCCTAAATTGATTTTAAATTAAATCTATTTAAATAACATTAGGTTTAACAAGTACCTATAGCTTTGCCGCTACAGGGAAACTAATAAAGTATGTTTTTTTATATATTAATAGCTTAGTATAAAATAAATAAGATTTACCAAGTTCCATCAAAGTATATCCATAAATAAGCAAACTACAACCAGCTGTCACCAATTCATTATTAAAAAAGAACGTAGTTGTGTGAGCCAGTAACAGAATGCGCTGGTGTCTAAAATTATATTTAATCCTACTAATATTATAAATGAGAAAGTTTGGATGTATGGATGTATGGATGTATGTTTGTGACAAGTGAACGCGAAAAATACTGGTCGGATTGGGCTAAAATTTGGCATGATGATAGCTCACATTCCCGATTAACATATAGGCATATACTTATTTCAAAAATCCTTTCGGGCTCCGCCCCAGTGGCTCTGGAGTTTCCCATGTTAACCTTATGAGAAATGGAATTATTGAATCTTAACAGCTGTTTCAATTAAACAAGTTGGTTCTGTTCTATGATGTTCAATAGCATTAAAGTTACAAGGATTACCAACAGGGTGCAGCACTATTATTTCTTTTACATTTACATAATTTATGAAAACAGCTAATTTGCAACCAAAAGGTGAGTGAGCGTAGCGAACGAACTTCAACCTGGAGGCGAGTTAGCGTAGCGAACGAGCTAACCTGAAGGCAAGTGAGCGCAGCGAACGAGCTCCAACCTAAAGGTGAGTGAGCGTAGCGAACGAGCTCCAACCTAAAGGTGAGTGAGCGTAGCGAACGAGCTCCAACCTAAAGGTGAGTGAGCGTAGCGAACGAGCTCCAACCTAAAGGGGAGTGAGCGTAGCGAACAAACTTCAACCAGGACGTGATTGAGCCATGCGAACGAGATAATCTTGAAAATTAAGAAGTTAAACGGGGCAAAGCCCGCGGGTTACAGCTAGTACCTTATATTTTGTTGCTGACCAGGTTGATGGGTCATACCAGTTGCTATAGCATAAGCCATTCCCTAAGTTTGACTTGATAAAAGAGTTTCTGTATTCGACAGAATTTAGTAATTTAGATCAACGCAATCTGTCGGTGGCTCATATCAACTACGACGATTTTGATAAAAAAAATCTTGCTACAAATTTAACATGGGGACAGAGATTGACTATATACTATAGTCAATGGTTGTATTAACAATCCCAGGCTCGTGCCTATCGTCCTAGGACAAAAAAAATGGTTGTATTACTGTAATGGTAAAAGGTTTTACTGTAACCGTACAGTATAATTAAAACAATCGGAAACATAAAGCCCGTATCGCATGACCGTGTCAGCGATCTTTGGCGGGTAGCGGTCCCATCATCAGGCGCGTCGGTGTAAAAACCGCGGCAAAATACAGCTGTGTCGTGAGTCTATCATTACTGTAGATTACACCCACGACTGACGACTGCTGGGATTATAGCAAGGAAGCCGTTTTACCTTGGTATCGTCCAATCTCTGATAGAATAGTATCTTTAAATGTTTTAGTTATGGAACTTTTAGTGATTTTTACGAACGAAGATGACGCTCAATACAAAATATCCTTGTATTGTTTTGTGGTTAAAACTACAGAAAATTGTGAGATCCAAACCCGAGGCGACGATGTCTGTGCATGGATTTATAGGGTTCTGGAAACTTCCAAATCACTTTTAGACCAACTTACCCGAGAAACGTTCGAAACTAAAACGCCAGTAGGCCCTACCAGTATTTTAGTTCTTGGTCAATTGCATTTATGAAATTCCAGAACCTATTGACGGGTAAGAAGTAAAACCCTAAATAGATTACAGGCCGCGAATATACAAATCACAGGGTAGCTAATACTAATTTCGTTTTTTTAAGGAACTGTGTAGATTCATTTCGCTGCAAAGTACTGTATAAATTTTTGTTAAAAAGGATGATTAATTAATGACTAACAAAGAAGTTATTCAATAATTTTTTCCACTTCTCACAGATTATTTTTTATCATGTAAGGCATATAATATGAAAAGTTATAGTGGTATTTTTAACAGTAAAGCTGATATGGAGATTAAACAAAAGTAATTTTGTACGTATTAGCATGCTAGGGATGCCTTGTTTCGTTAATGTTATGCATACAAATTCCCAGGCAGTGCGAAAATTTACTTTACATCTATTACACTGGAAAACACCTGTAATTTCTGTGAACTTCAAACTGGTATTTTCAAGTTTAACACGCTGAGAAAAATTGCACCATTAGAATATCTGGGTGCGTTAACGTAGAATATCAAATATAAAGAAAGGAATTAACAAAATTTAATTTATTTTCCAGTTTATTTATACAGATTAGAGCCTAAAAGTTTTACACAATGAAAGTATATTAACATATTTAAATAAAAATTAAATATTTTAATATGGTTTTGTATTCTATGGTAATGAACCTACATACATTTATTTGGAAAGTTCACTTCAGGTGATCATACAACAAAATTCAGCATGGAACAATAATTTGAGGTGAGTAATGTTCTAGCCTACGACGTAATGCAATGTGTGCAGTCTGCAGAACTGCAACAATTACTGCAGAATTGCAGCTTTTACTGCAGTGGTGGCAACCCTGCCAACTGCAGCAAGGTAGGCCTAAAGTGGCAGACTTATGTGGTGTAAAAACAGCTGACTGGATACAACCCCTTGATAATGCTGGAGATAGGGTTGACACAATGTTATTGTGTTACCTAGATTTAAAAAAAAATCCTCAAAGTGTTGGTGTAATGCTGGTATAAGCTAATACAAAAATGTATTCGACTCAGGATAATTTTTATTAGTTTAAGCACCAGTGATTTTTTAGTTTTTTAGAAAATCAAACAATTGTAAGGAGGAACTACTAGGCTAGCAACACACCTATAATCAATTAGTTATCTATTTTAGTTTAAACTCGTCAATCCACACTTCAAATTAGTTAATCAATAACAGAAAAGAGAAGTATTTTGAGTATTTTAATACACAAATCTATGCAATTGCAAATGTTTTGTACAGAACGATAACATTTTGTTTGACAGACAGAAATGAATTCCAAGGAACGATTTCAGTTGTGAAAATTAAAATTTATTACTGTTCGAAAGCGTTATGGCCCAGGAATAATTTGCTTACATTAAAGTATGATGTTGCTGTATGGTTAAAACTAAATGTATAGACAGACCCCATTGACGTCAATGAGCACCGAATAAAAATATGGTACATATAATTTTGATTGCAGATAGTACTAAAATCAATACATTAAGTTACCTATCGTATTGTGTTTTAAAGTTAATTAATACAAACAAAGAAATGCGACGAAAAAACTAGACTCGCAAAAAACAGGTAGGCAGTGATAACTGACACCTCAACGATGATGAAATCGAAATTTACAGGCCATGAACTAAAATTATGGCGCTGAATTTCACAGCAGCATTGATAAATCTTGTTTACAACTTCTCTATCAGCCAGCCTACCGAGCATTCGATGTGTTTCACAATTTTGATAACTTTTTGTGGAATAAAGGGTCGTTTTTGCATGATTTAAACACACGTTTCATGTAGTTTACTGATTTTCTCAAAATATACATTATACTCATGTGAAAGACATGTTTACAGGCACAATACTTGTTCAGTAAGCAACATTACATGTATAAGTATGTACGGTATCCAAACAAAAACATTTATTTGTTAGTAATGAGAGTGAATTTCATTGTCAAACTGAAGAATTACTAGAACTATGATAATAGTGTACTAAATTATCTGGGTTGATGATTGGATATGGTGCTTCATTTAAGTATCAAAGATTGATCTAAATCGGGATTGATTTTGGACCTAGATTCCATTTGACATCGTGCCATCAATCAATGATACCAGGTAACAAAAAGTTCACGTTAGATAGTATCAAGACCAGGACTTAGGCCGTTCCCTTACAAAAACCTCGAAAAAATACCACTCACACACATAGTCAAAAAATTCAAATTAAAATACCATATTTTCAAAATTTGCTTGTTAACCGGAAACTAAAATACCATCATGAAATTAGTTCATGTTATTTTCGTACAAAACACTGAACCATCACTGTCAACACAAACACACTTGAAGACGTCGTCTGCTGGCCGTCAGATAGCGCGGGAAACGTTCCCGGGCAACACGCAGGCGCACTGAGTGTCTGCAGAACACTACGCAGCGCAGAGCCGCGCAGTCCGCAGTCACGCACCATTGCCCAAGCCGAACATAACAGGACGGTCCGTCAACACTCGGTAAAAAATATGTAGGAGTCTCATCACACGATAACACTATTAGTTACACGGAAGGTATTAGTATACCTATGTTTGAATAGGGAATTAAACATACATTTCGCTATATTTATAAAAGAGGAAGTTTGTATATATATATTTGAACGTTATGGACTCCGAAACCACTCGACAGATTGCAATGAAACTTTCAGGCATTACTAATCTTTATTCAAGTATGGTGTGTGTGAAGTTTGGTGCAGATCCGTCAAAAGGGCCCCGCCCCAGTGGCTCTAAAGTTTCCCATGTTAACCTTATAAGTACTCATATTTAAATGGAATTAAAGAATCTTAACAGCTGTTTCAACTAAACAATTTGATTCTGTGATGTTCAATTGCGTTAAAAAGTTATAAGGTTTACCAACAGGGTGCAGCACTGTTAATTATTGTTTAAATTTATGACAGGTAATTTGAACCAAGCAGCGACAAAAAGCTGTGATAAAAAAAATGAGAACTGTCTAAAATAATTGTGAGTAAAAATTATAATGTTTACAGAGTTATGTTAATGTTTTTAATTTAATAAATACTATTTGATATTGTAGAAATAAGGTGTTTTATTTTTTAAGTGCATAGTTAATTAACTTATTGACTTTCTTTTTTCCTATTTGATTACAAAAATCTATTGTGTTTGTATGGTTTATTAAAAAAAAAAAAAATGTTTGGGAAATGAAGTGGCCAGTGAATCAATAAAAGTGTATCCACATACAGCAAATATATGCAACATAATTATTCTATTTACGTTCTCTTGCCGTTGCGAAGCACGGGTATGACTGCTAGTATATTATAAAGTAATTAGTCTAATTATGCCAGGTTTTTAATGTATATAATGCATAATATATAATGTATGTATATAATGACAGGTATGTATATAATGTATAAGTAAAGGATGAGTAATACGTTAATGAACTTAACAGGCAGGCTTGTTTATTTTAATTAATGTTTTTTTATTGGATTTGAATTCAAGGTGTGAGTAAAATAGAGTGCTAATAATAATAAAACCAATATTGCTTTTTATTGACTTAAATCAGTTGTTTGTTCAGCCAAAACCTTGAGTCCAATTGTCACGGACAATTGGTCCAGTCTTGATTCACAAAAAAGTTACTGAATTTTCTCAAGATTTGACCAGCGATCTAGTGATTTTCAGGAAAACACTATAAGCACTAAGCTACCTGGGTTATTAAACACTGTACAGCAATACTGCTCATCTTTATACATTTATGATTAAGATATGAACAGAAAGCTGTACAGTTATAAGGCTTGCGCAGTAGGCTGGATTCGCTACACAGTCTAGTTATCATGCGCACCCAACTCTTACGAATAATTAATCTGCTCAGCACCTACATTAATACTGTTCTCCATAAAATGGTTTCACCAAGATAAAAACAACTTTCACTGAGTAGCTGATGTTTATCAAGATATACAACTTATGTAAGTTAAAAAATACATTACTGCACCATATTAACTAAATTTGTCATTTAAGTGACTTGAAAAGCACTAATTGTATAAATACGACTTTCGTTGTGGGACAAAAAGGAAAATTAGGTAAATAAATTACACTCTAGCCATTATTACATTTTGATGTATCGTAGCATTTAGAAAGTGGATGGTTAGACTAATAGAATATTTATTAAAATATTGTCAAGGTATAGTCTATCGATGAATTTTCTTGTACATGCAAGATTACACTACAAACGAAAAATAACATTTAATGGAAATAACCGAATTGCACCCCTAACAGCAAAACTCCATAGAGTAACTTAGTCTCTATGCGTAAATGAGGATTTCTTTAGCTGAAATCAACACATTACCCACGTACAGATCAAATATAATATTGGATCAAATAGTAGGGTTAGTTTCTAACCAGGTACACGCGAAATAACTATTTGGTTGAACAACAATCTTATAATAAAATTAAAACCTTTCCCAAATAGTATGAGATTCATTAAACAAGCAATCGAAATAGATAAATTTAATCTCTTCTATGGGAAACGAGGAGGGAAAGGAGCGGTCTTGTTCATTTAATATCTCAGCAAACAGTATGAACAGAAAATAATTGTAATGTAATTTAATTTTTTTTAATTTTGAATGGTGAAAACAATTTCTCAAAGGGTTGGGAACTAATTTTACAACCCCGATTCTGGGGTACGAACTTCTAAAAAAACTTGCTTTTTCTGATCGGGCTGGGCCACAAGCTTATTTAAACATGCGTTTAAACACGGTTAATTAAATTGTTATTAAACATTAGATAAGCTTTGCATTGTCGATTCCTTTATTTAGTTGAATTGAATAGTTGAACTATAAATGTATTGTAAGGTACACTTGTAATCTCAGAGTTGATATTATGTCTTTCTCTCAAGTTAATAAAAAAACTATTATCCTTATTAACTTGCACACCCACTTATCCAAACAATTCTCTAGGCATATATTGTAATGCATTATTAAACACACACTAATGCTTGTTGCAACTGCAGTTAGAAATATATCGTCCGTTAAAACATGTTCTACTAAGATTTAACGAGCCATAGTCCATTAAGTGTATGTATAGTATAACACGAGGAAATAATTGATAAGAATTTTATTACAATGGTTTAAATGTGTTCTGTACCTCTAAAACACACAGTTTTTTACAATAAACAATTTTCAGCCAAAACAAACGACGTAAAGTCCTTTTTTTAGTAGAAATGGCCCAATTCGTTATCCTGGTACTTGTTAACATTTTTATTATTATGAGTTAATAAGGCTACACAGTTTAGTATAATTATAAATGTATTTGTATTGAAACCTATGTTTATTTATTTTGTTGAAACGAATCCGTTAAATTTTTTGATATAAAGGGAAATATAATTCAGTTAAAACCAAATAAATTGCAAAGTTTAAAAAATCTATATTTCATTAAACAAGTACACTATTAATAAAAATGACGGTTTTATTTGTTAAAAATATTTTAAAACTTATTGATACAACGTCTAGCCTACCAACGTGAGTCGCTGGACAGAATCGTTGGTATTTTCGGGTCGCCGGAAGACTGCCCCCCGGAAAACTACCCCCCCAAGCAGGTTCCTACGTCATATTGACGTCAGAGACTGGGGGGGTAGTTTTCCAGTCACGGACACTCAAATTTAGTTGTCAAACAGTTCTAATCTAACCTAACCTAACCAACCAAACTTGCTGTAACATTTCAAAAATCTGTTTTATATTCACCATACGCATTTTCTATTATCCAACGGAATTACTCGAATTAAAATTAAAATTACATGGCATGATTTGTCTAGGGGGGGTAGTATTCCAGTCGCGGACACGGCTTCCATATTGGTTAGTTAGCAGATTTTGTGTCGTCACGTTTCACCTGGGGGGGTAGTTTTCCGGGGGATAGTTTTCCGCATCCCCGTATTTTCGAATTAGTTTTCATGACCACCGAATTCAATTTAAGATGTAATATACCACGATGCTATGGTTATAGACATACAAGAGTAGCAAAGGAACAATTTCACTTACATAACAATCTATTTAATAAGCAAAATTCGTAAATCCATAAAAATATTTAAAGTTTTAAATATGAAAATATTGTTTTAATGATTAACTTGAAGGTATTATATAGTTGTATAATTTAAATGACAATATGAAATTCAGCATGAAAAAAATGTTGTCCCCCATTCTTTGGCAAGAAATCGTCTACATATTTTCATGTAATATCAGGAAATGATTATTTACTTCACCATGGCAAACATGAATATCTGTTGGGTACAATTTCATATAGCCTACGTGTGGACTGCAAGATCTTTAAAATAATATATATTAAAATCTTGTCAAATAAATCAAAGTTATGCCTACGATAAAAAATTTATTTTCATTTAAATACGAGTTTAACTAGAAAAATCAAATAGCTAGGTTAGATTCCATTTAATATTTTTATTAACGTCTGAAATGTCGCTAACTGTCAAAACAATCAATTCAAAGGGAAGTTCACATAAAGAAATAAGGCTACATAAAAAATACAATTATACATGTTTTCTCGAATAAACTGCAATTATGTACTTGAAGAAAACGCTCGTTTGCTAATATTATTTATAGACTATTTTTAAAAGTATATTATAAGTAAACATATTCTATACTTACATAAGACGTTCCCAGTTGACATTATCCCCGGCTGCTGGCGGCTTGACGTTCGACCTGTGAACAGAAAAAAAGATATTAACAACAAATAAAAACGGTTTAAAACATCAACTAAGATTGTGAAAACATGTTGAACATTTAGGCAAGTGCGTAACCATTGACTAAACACCATGCAAGATGATCCAACGATGGAGAAATGACAAATTCTATAACACTTTTCACCCATGACCAAATTACAGGAGGGAAGTCAAAGACCTATAAAGTAAGCAGAATGTTGCATCTGCAGTGGAATGTTCCGGCAGAGCGAGCGGCTGAAATGCTGAAATGCTGCAAGTCATAATGCCTCCCGTTTGTGAATGATGTTTCCGCATTTCAAGAAAAATGTCGTTTCAATCAAACTACAGTGATTGCATGTCACACCAATTCCAAAACTATGTTTTGTTTTAACTAAAGGCATTTATTTTGCTAAAAGTCTTGGATTTTAAGTACCTAGTAACAAGAGTTTTAAATAGCCTACTTATTTGTATAAAACACTTACTCGTCGAAGAGTGGCTATGTTTTGAGGGACACTTAAAAGTTACATTCAATCAAAATTCTACGAATAAAAATGTATTTTCCCATTAAATATATAATTTAACGTACTTTGAAAAAATGTAGTAACAGAAGTATAAAAAGTAACAGTAAACGACTAATACAATTTAACAAGATCTTATTTTTTAACCAAGTATAACAATCATAACATAAAAATGAAAACAAACGTCATGTGACAGGTGGCGATTTAGAAAGGAAATCAGGAAGCCTTTCGAAAACCCCCATATGGCAATTAAAATACAACCAAAATGCACCAAAATGAATAGTTAAATATTTTACATGTTTCATTTAATTAGACTATTTCAATAAAATTCCCAACAATAAAGTAATACATCGGGGGACGGCTAGTCTTGTAGTTACAGCGCAGACCTCGTGTTTCAATGGCCCGAATACAAATCCTGACGATCGCCTATACCTTATCACGAATATTTGAACAGAAACGGTATGGATAAAAAAATAAACAAATGACGTAATTGGCCCGAAAGTAAACATGATTTTATTACTAAAACCATAAAACGGAACATAAAAGAAAGTCCAAACCAGCTGAGGCTATTAGAAATATATTTGGACCAGTGACCTCATTTGTTTACGTTCATGATCTAAACAGTGTTCGTTCTAATCGTGGTTGTATTGGGGAGCGAGCTGGTCTAGTGGTAGAGCGCAGGACTTCGGTTCTGAGGTTCCGAGTTCAAATCCGCCAAATCACTAATGGATTTTATCTAAGTGATAATGCCGCAATCCCTGTGAGAACAATCCTGGGCTTGTCTAGCGTCCTAGGGGGGGGGTTTATTGTATTTGTTATTTTATATTGTGTATGAAATTGTCATTAACCCTCCTAAGTAAAAAAACTTGCTGTTCGTCTGATAAACTGTTCCAGTTTTAAGTATATTCCACCTTAAAACGCTAAGTATGCTTTCATTAACGTATGGAACCATCACACGTTGCACGTTGAAGTTTGCATTAAAAAAAATTGTATATTTTTGTGAATTACAAATACACGTTTTGCAATTCGAAAGTATTTTTACCATTTTGATTAGCATATAATTCAACGAGTATCTGCCCTGGGCGTTGAAGCAGCAAGGGCTGTCTGACGTCCCTCGCCACGGTACAGCGACTGATGTAATAGCGACAACAGTTCAATACGACCGCGACTATACAGACGACTGACTTCTATCTGACTAAATCTTATCGTCTTGTTTGTTCTTTTTGTTTTCTTCCCCTCACTTATGCACAAGAACCGAGAAAAAAAACTTTTAAATTCCTTTTGGATTTGGAGATATAGCCTCTGGATCGTTATTGAACATAATTACATTCATACTTTACGATCCAATTTATTTTATACTGGAGACATAGGTTTCTACGTCGAAACGTTATCGTCAGTCCTTTGTCTCAAAGGTTAGCTTAACTTTTAGTTTTCCATATCTTACTTGAGATATTGTCAATTTGGTATAAATTTGTACAAACATTGAACACATATAAATATTTACAAGGACATAAATGAAAACAGCTTAGATACATGGACATTATCTTCTTTATCAATCCTAACCTCTGAGGTTGAGATGTGGTGACTTTTACTTCTTTTAATTATTGTAAATTCCGTTATGGTTTTAGTTAGTTTTTTGAAGAGTTTTAGGGTTGTAAATAGTTAATTGTCAAAAAAAAATACTGGTGGCAATTTGTTAGGAGAAAATTAAACAATTTAAGGTAAAGCGGTTCAAGCTGTCGTACGTTGAGTATATACCCAAAATGGTACCCACCTTTCTTGTATCCAAATCCGAGAAAAACTGTTTGGCTAGAATTAGAATACAAAGTATAAGTAGGGCATAATGATTGCATTTTCTACTTATACAATGTGGCTATAAAAACGACGGGTTTGCAAATAATCTTCAGTTAAAAATAAAATAGTTTCTGAATCATAATTGCTAACGATTAATAGTTGTACATTGGTAATCTACTCCTATACATCGAATTCTTGTAAAAACATTTTTATATGTAATCAAAAATATCATTAACATTTAGTTGATTGAAACATGGGGGAAATTAGAAATCTTCTTAAAAACATAGCCTACTACTAAATGTTTTTTTTTATCCATGTAAGCCAAGTGTTAAGGTTAGGAAATTGCAAAGATACTCTAGAAACATTGGAATTAATTTTTTTTTCAAATGTCAAACCCATTCTACTAGATTGATTACTCAAAGTAATACATTACATCCAAGAATATTGTAGTTTCGCACAGTTTCCTACTACTTAAAATCTTTACCTTGCTATAAATTCCGCAGTAATAGCGTAGAAAGTAATTCTACCGAAGACCACGTCTAAACGGTGCGTATTGGAGTGAGAGTGTGTACTCGACCTTTGGAAGTCATCAGATAACAATATTGGTAGACTATCAGATCCACGTAGTCTGGTAGGCCTACCGCTTCCTATATACCATTATACCACTATACCACTTACATTGTCCGGTCGCGCTCCAGCGGTTGTCCTAATGCTCCGAGCTCACATCCTCTGGAACCCAATTAATGCTGCATTGCTATTGTTTTCTCGTCGTTGAATCAGTTTTATTACTCCCAATAGCAGACGATGGAATCACAGCTGGGATTAAATCGACCTAAGATTGTTGGTTACTCCTTGACCTTGAAATTTGATTCTGTGATTTGTATAGAATACTGGCCTGTACTGGCTTGTACGTATCGGTTACTGTTAAGATACGTCGGTTGACCGTGGCATTGGGTTTACTAATGAGTGTAACCATTTAGACATCCCATCTATGTGGACAATCTGTAGCCAATTTTTTGTTAAAAAGAACGTAATTGTGTGAGCCAGTCACAGAATGCGCTAGTGACTAAAACTCTTATTTTCTACCTTATTTTTTTGTTGCTGTCCAAGTTGATGGGTCATAACAGTTGCTAAAGCTTACAATAAGTAATTCCATTAGTTTGAATTGGTAAAAAAGATTGCGTATTCAACAGAAACCAGTAATTTAGATCAGCACAATCTGTAGGTGGCTCACATCAACTACGATGATTAATAAATATGATGGTACAAATTTAACATGGGGATGGAATGTCTAGTGCAACCTATAGTGAAAAGTTTATATTACTAGTGTAAAAACGAATTCGGCAGGATTTTAACGTTTACAAATTGTGGCCTGCAGTTTTTAAAGTTATTTAGATTCGACCTACGAGGTAAAATGTGCTACTAAGCTTTCTTTATACATAAAGAGTGTCTGGTTTATTTTATTTTTGTAAGTCAAAAGGAGTTGCAAATATGAACGTTATACAGTAATGTACGACCTTTCAACCTACAGCTTACGTAAATGCTTTGATTAGAAAACTATTTTCGAACCTCTTGCGTACTTAGAGTACCTTATACCAACCAAAGTAATGAATCTTTGATCGAAGTTTCTATAGAGATAAACACGAACTATACACCGAAGTCTACAATGACAAATGAACCATGGAAAAACTTTTGCTTGGGGAAAAAGATAATGATTTCCGATTATGATCAGCTAGTAAAAGCTAACGAAAAACATTAGGAGAAATGTTTAATATTATTAGTGTTTATAGTATTTTTTGTAAATGGTCCCTTTATCTAGATTCTCTGCTAACATTGAGTGTGGAAAGCGTAGCGCTCAGGTCGTAAGGTTAACGAACGCACTTCTTGGTTCTTGGCTACTTTCTCCACGGATTAATTTTAATTCGACAATAATTTCGCTTATTACTATCGTAAGGTTTTTAGCGTTGGTAGTTCTCTATATAGAGAAAGCTATCCAAGCCTGACAGACTTATCCTTTACTATTATCGAAGTAGAAGAACATACTTACTTTATTTTCAATGAAATGGTGACCATCCAAAGTAGGTATTTTAAGCCAAGTATGAATGGAGATGAATGTAGGATGAGTGGCGTGATCTTGTAGTCTTGTTAGGTACTACAGCTTAATATGGGTCCCGAACCACTGGACCACCTAATGACGACACAACTTGGCGTCGTCAGTATATAAGTCCAAACTAAACCACAAATAAGCATAATTGGAGTATTCAAGCTAGTTACTATGATAAAATTAGTAGAGTTTTTAGACAAAAAAGTATTGAACACATAATGACGACACAACTTAGGTCGTCAGTATTTAAGTGTAACGCTTGATAACAAAACTAACAACAACGAAGAATAATTGGAGTATTAATCCGCAGTACTATCCTGATAATTGGACCAATTCGTATATATCAAGGCAAAAATGTTGCTCAGATTCCACTATAAACTAGGTCCCTTAGTTGCCATTAGCAGTATGGGCTATTAATTAACAGCTGTGTCTAAGGAATGTCGGCCTTAGTCACTAACAAGACTACAAGATCGCGTCACTCATCTTACACTCATCTCCATTCATACTTGGCTTAAAATACCTACTTTGTATGGTCACCATTTCATTGAACAGTATTAACAAAGTACGAAACTATAGTATGTTCTT